GTGCGGAGGCAATCAGGTGGTCTAGTGGAAAGATCCCACATCTGGATCCTAGCTCTATGACCCATTCTCACAGTGTGAACTTCTACAACACCCTTCCCCACTCTGAATCTCATTTTCCCCATTTATACAGTAAAGGGGCTGAACTTTGGCCAACTTAGTCTTAGAAACCAGCTTAGTCTTTGCCCAGCTGAAAATGAAAAAGCCCACCTCCCTGAGACACCCATGAGATGAATGACGCCTGCAGAACTCCAAGCCCCACAGGAATACTGTTTACCGTACTGATTATCAGCAGCCACACTTTCATGGATTTGTCACCATTGATGTTCAAAGCTGAAAACCAGACGTCACAAGTACCTAAGACACACTGTGGGTGGGGAGTTCATTCATTCAACTCATGCTTACAGCATCAGCTGGAGTTATTTACATTTTTTGTTTAACATCAAGATTCTTCATTTTATAGAAGCAATAATGTCTGCAATTTAGGGTAGATCTGGTCATATTTCCCAAGGCAGGAACCTGGGTTTCTGTGATGTTCCTACACAGGAAGGGCCTGAGAAATCTAATGTCAGCCTAAAAGGGGCAATAGTAGGCAAGTATACTCATCGATCTCCTGGGATCCTTGTCTTTCTCTACATACTTTACAGAACTTCACCCCGGCATACTGGATGAAAGATGTTCCAAAGAGAGCTTGAAAATAGGGAGCACATATAACTCCATGTGCCTCTCCAATTTCTGACACACAGTGAGGTTAAAGAGGGAAGTCCAGAGGAAGAAAACTCTCAAGTGACATCATCCTGCTCTTCCAACGACTTTATTCTGCCTCGGCCCAAGTCTGCATGTCTCATTCGGCAAAATCAAAGCTGAATAGCTAATTACGCCTACTTTCTTAGATAGCACCTAACTGCCCATCTGCTGTCACTGTTATCTGCTACCCATTGAAGGGGGTCTCACACCTTTCTAAGTAGCTTAGCAAAAAATTCCTTCGTATGCCACATGGTCTTTTCCATGAAAGGAGCTATGGTAAATGCAAAAGAACCACACTTTCACAATCATCACAGATGGTATTCTAGTACTCTCATTCATCAAGCAGAGAGAATAAACAAATAATAACCACACCAAAGAGTTCATAAGGGCTAATGGGGCAACTGATTGGCTGAACATCTAAGAGGAACTGTTTTCCAAGGGTATCTGGGTGGCTTCCATGTCAGGTGACTTCCATGTCAGGTGACTTCCATTTCAGGACTCATCTTGGTTGATGGCTTCCTGTTGAGTACTTCACACTCAGACCCTTCCTTTGAAAGTAACCCACCAGACCTACTAGCTCATGGTGGTGGGGTTTCCTCCTTTATGTACATCAGCTGTAAACAAAGAATGTCAATGTCAGGGCTCCAGGACGTTTTAGTCCAAGCCCTTTTTAATGGAGTTCTGGGTTGGAAGTAAAAGAAATCCACCTCAATCCAATTTAAGTAATAAATAGAGACACTTTATTGGCTCATGTATGAAAAAGGTTCAGAGGCAGGACGACTCTCAAAGTTTACCCTGTATTTAATGTCATCAAGGACGTGGTTCTTGCAGCCTCTCAACTCTCCCTTCAGCTTCATGTTGAGAGTGAAGCTATAATAGTCCCAGGACGGTCACTATTAATATTCAGGATTACCTGCTTTCCCTTTCATGTCCCTTTGCCTCTTCCTCTCTCTTTTTCCCTTTCCCTCTCCTCCCACCTTTTGTTTTATTATCTTGGGGATTGAACCCAAGGCCTTTCTATTGAGCTACATCCCTAGTTCTTATTAAAAAACAGTTTTCTTTTTGAGACTGGGTCCCTTTACGTTGTCCAGGCTTGGCTCAAACTTGTGATCTTCCTGCCTCAGCCTACCAGAATATTGGGATTTCAGGCGTGTGCCATCACACCTGGCCAGCTCCAGAAATTTTGAAATTCCCTCTGCTGGCATAGACTTAACTCACAAAGTCTTACCTGGCTCAGTCACTCCGGCCACAGAGACGAAATATGTTGTTGGCTGAGTATACATCAAATGTTCACTCCTGGAAGTGGTGAGAGCCAGTCCTGCCCTCATAGAAACCCTCAGTGGAAGTAAGGGACTGCTGGGAAAGGAATGAGGGGAGTAGGCATCGGAGATGCAACCAATAACCATCACATCCCTAATTTTATGAATGAGACACTGAGACCACATGGAAAGGACTGTCCAAGATGACAGCAGAGCTGGGACCACAGTCCACCCCAACCATATACAAACACTCCAATGTTTCCACTATACTTTGCTCTTACCTAGTTCAGGCCGATGTACCCACTATGAATAGATCAATTTGGATAAATCAGTTTCTCTGTAGCCCTCATAAACTGCTTTTGTAGTCACTGAATTTCAAACACCTCCACCAAATTTGATGTCAAACAAAAACAAGCTTGGGCCCAAGAAGTCTTGCAGACATGAGGATCAACCTCATCTCTTCTTCCCTTCTTGGGGCCTCCTAAGAACCAGCTCTTGCTACTTTTAAGAGAAAAAAAAAAAAGAACTGCATTCTGATGTGCAAACATGATTGCATATTCATGCACTCAAAATCTAATTTTAGCTGCAAGAGGCTTCATTATAAGATGCTCACATAATTAAGCAGTTTTCTTCCCAGGATTTGGGAGCCTGTCTATTCTTCTCTCTCATTTACACATCACTAGGATTATCAGAATGTGTTTTAGTTTTTTAAAATTGTGTATTTGGGTTTTTCCAAATTGATCCACACAGGAGATAAAATCTATGAAAATGACATGTTTTAACACAGGTTTGTGTAAATCCACATCCTTGCTATTAAAGTTACAATCTGTGGAGAATTTTGCTGTTCTATTCTAATTGACTCTCAATGCATTTGCCACACTTCTGCTTTACAGACAGATCAGCTTGTACTTTAAGGCTGGCCAGGACAGTATCTTCTTTCCCTAGAAATGAGAACTGTAAATGAGACCTAACTTGGAGAGAGCCAAATGGATTTTCCCAAAAGGACAGATTCCCCACCTAATAAGGAGGTAGACCCAGGACGAAGGTTGCTGAGAACCAGCAGTGGCTGTGAACTCCATGCCATATGAACGGACGGCACCCCACCTGAAAGGCATCTGGAAGCAGTGAGCATACCAACAGACTCCCAGGAGAAACTCTCTGGGGATGCTGCTCTCCCAGATTCCTGGAGTGGTGAGTGAAGGGTAGGAGATCATGCCCCGGCTGCAGCCTGGTCAGATCACTCTACATGTTTGCCCTTCCCAGCCTCTAGGGTTTCAGTCTTCACCTCTGATCACTTGGATGTCCCTGGAGAGTGAAGCTAAGCCTTGAATCTATTGCAGGAGGCATCCAGCCTCTCTGCTCTCTAGCAATCTGATGCCTACTGCCTTTTTGAGACTATAGATTTGCTCTGGGATGTAGACACCCCTGGCTCCCTTCCAAGGCAGCATGGTGACTCCTATGGGTCTCACTTGCTCCCATGCTCAAAGGAAATGGCTTTATCAGGTGCTTTCACAGAAGGGACCACATAGCCACCCCAAGCCAGTGAACATTTAGATCCTGATGCTCCCAGGTTTAAGTTGCCAAAGTAAGTTCTAGAACAGCCTCACATCAGGAAGCACATGGAAGCCACAAGCAGGGACACTTACCCCCACACTCACTGGGTGGGAGGCAGCTTCACTGATTCCTCCACCTGGTCTATACTTACTGCAAGGAGCCCTTGGCTCCCATGGCCAAGGCCAAGTGTCAGAGTCAGGGTATCCATTGCCCAGGCTGAGCAGAGGTCTCCCTGATGGCCAACCTAGTGCAAGATCAAAGGATCCTGCCCGGATTAGTTCAAGCCTGTAGGAGTCACACAGGAGTCACTTGATTTCAGGCTCACTGACTTCTTCTTTGCTGTGTGGGTCGGTCTGCAATCAGATCTCCACAATCCTCCCTATACCTCGGCCACCCCAGACTACATCCCATCCTCTAACCTGACCTTCCCGGTATCTGAGTCTAAGATATGTAGTAGGGCATGATCTAAGTTAGTCATTAGCGCCAGCACCTCTCCTGGCCTCAGGCTAGCAGGCCATGCGAAGGCTGAGCACTAAGTGGCTACAAGGACAGAGTCCCTTTCTATTCCCACCTGTCCTTTTCAAGGGTCGCCCTAGCCTCTGAGGCTGTGCACAAGCTCTTTTCTCTCCCTTGACTATCCTCCCCATCCCTCCTATGTCAGGATAATTCCTACAGATTTCATAAGACCGCTTTACCCTGGAAGGCACTCCTCAAAGCCCCCAACATAGTGACTGAGCCCCCTCTGAGCTCATGCCCCTCACAACCCCCACTAGACTGTGAGGTGAGAGGAAGCAAGGGCATCTGGCATCTGCCTCTTCCCCACACCTGGCTCACAGAGGCACCCGTGACTATAGGCCCTTCCCTCGGGTGGAGGAAGAAGATAAGCAAGTGGGAACAATGTCACCACACAGAAGCAGAGATGGGGTGTAAAAAAGAGGCCGAGTGACAATATAATAGTGATAGGACGTGTCAGGATTGACACAGAGTGACACAGAGGCTCTGCCACCAGGGGCCTGGCGGAAGCCATGGCACAAGGGTCCTATGACCTGAGGGTGACAACCAGAGAACAGGCTTTGTTAGTATGTGTGGGGCAACAGTCCCAGTGACCTCAAAACAAACCCTCAAGGGTCTCCTATGTCTACCCCAGCCCCGTCCTGTTGTCATATGGGCCGCTTGGATCTTGGACTCCCCTAGAGACTTAGCCCCTGCACTGCCCCAACCCTCACACCTTGCTTCTGGGGCAGCTTCCTTAGAAAGGGTCAGAGGAAGAAGGCAGGAGCGGGCCCCACTCTGAGGAACACTGACTTGGGGTGAGTTGAAGAGAATGGTAGGGCTAGGCAGAGTGCTCAGTATGTGTACTCGCGGGGCAAGGGAGCGGGGTGGGCTTCACTTTGCTCACAGAGGCTCACCATCCCATCCACAGAGAAGAGAGAGAGGCCGGGCTGCAGAGTTTGCAATGCCTGGTAGTCACGGCACACACCTTTATGGGATGTCAGACAAGGTCAGGGCCCCACAGCCCCACATCAGCAATCTACATCTGCCTCCATTCCTGCTTGGAGCATGAGTGCCTGTCCAGCCTGGCGTTCTAGAGATGAGGGCTCCGGTGGCTGGACACAGGAAGCCTAGGGCCTCTCAGAGCCCAAGGTGCATGTATGGGCACGTGCACGTATGAGAGACAGCCAGCCTCTGGGCACACGCCCTGGGCACCTATGTGTTTGTGTCTGTGTGTGGCTATATGTGCAAGGCTAGGCAGATCTGGCTCACCCTGCATGGGTGGCTTAGGCACATCAAAATGGGCACTGTGAATGTGGAATAATGTCTCAGTGTCTGTGAGCGTGTGAGTGTCAGGAGTGTCTTTCCATTTGTCTGTCCTGTGATGTGTCTGGGTGGGTCTGGCATCCAGATCAGGTCTCCCTGCAGCACCCAAGGGCCTCTCTGCTGACTGTGTGCAAGCAGCCACATGTCCCATGACCCAGAGGTCCACAACCGAGCAGCAGAGCAGGGGTATAGTTTCATGGCGTGACTGCATCTTACAGCAGGGGTGGGCAGCTTGGGCTAGGGCCTATCATCTGGGCACATATTCCCTGGGCAGTCCGGCCCAGTTGTGGTCACGCAAGGCCTGGTCCACTGTCCGGATGTAGCCATTGATCAGGTCTTTCATCTCGGGGGTGAAGGGCTCTGGGTCATGCGGGCGCTGGCCATGACGCCGGAAGCTGCCTTCCTTGTTGTTCTCCACACAGAGCAGCCGGTCCTCACTCACAGACACATTAAGGAAGGCCACCATCTCCCGCAGTGTGGGCACCAGGCTGCGGCGCAGCTCCTCGTAGTGCACCACCAGCAGCCGCTTCCCGTACTTCAGCCAGTCCAGCACGTGAGAGGACCACCATGATGCGTAACTATTCACAAAGTCTGGCCACTCTGGAGCAGACAGAGAAAGGACATGGTCAGACTGCCCCAGCATAGCTGCTGGCCCCACTGGGCCCACTCAGGAGAAAGAGGAAGCCAGGGTCTCCATGACCCACTGCACAGGGCCAATCTGCCTGGTTCCCCGTGGGAGCAAGATCCATTGGTGACCTAGTGTGATAATGGGCTTGCACGAGTCCTCAGGCTATCTGGGAGACGATGACCTTGAGGTTGCCTTCCCCCAGCAGCATTTCCTTGGAAACATACCAAGTTAAGAAAAACATGGCCTGTTATGTGTCAACAACCGGTTATCTCTGTTTTGTACTATGATTTCCTTAACCTTTGAGATTGTACCTGGACAAGGAGGCCTGGGAGTGGCCTTATAGTCCCAGGCTATCACAATTCAACAGGATATAAGGTGGGTGGGAAAGCCAAGCAGCGCATCTCTTTCCAGATGAACCACAACTACCTGGACCATGGCCTTGGCCACTAGGCATGTCCGATGTTAAAGAGCGGAGACAGCCATGGTTTTCTACTGACCCTCTCTAGGGCTGACCTGCCTGGATCCCCCAAGGAGCAGGAACCTTTTGGTGACCGACCACTGTGTGCCTGGGTGTGAGGGAGCTGCTGGGTCTCCTGGTGAGATGAAGAGGCTGAGCTTGGTCTCCTGTGCTCGGTCCTCCTATGTCAGATTGGGCTAGGCAAACATGGTGATGGATATGTATAGTGTATTGTGAGATTGATGGATAGTTTGAACCCATAACTGCTGGGAAGTAGGATACACAATGACACTACAGACAGGGGTGACCTCAAACTTTAGCAAATGATCTTCTCCATGAGCTGTCTTTTCTAGAAAATTAAGAAATTAGTTTTTGGAAGGGATTGGGGTACAGTTTGTCAAGAACTATCCCTGCACAAAGAGTTTCCATAACCGGGGTATTAATATACCTCAAATGTTATGGTTTGCTCTCTATTCCTCTTCACAATGGGCCTGTAATTCCAAAACAAGAAAACTGAGCCACGAAGATGAGGTACACAGTTTGCTAAGGGTCACATGGCTTCCAAGAGGCAGAGGAGAGACTTGAGCTCAGCCTACACAACTGTGGGGGCTAATCTCTTGCCATTGTCCCTGTGTTTCTCTTCTTTTTTTTTTTTTTTGTTGTTGTTACTGGGGATCAAACTTGATTCCTTGTATGTGCGAGGCAGGCAGCAGGACCACTGAGCTAAATCCCTAGCCCTGTCCCTGTGTTTCTAAAGGCAAGTTGGCAAGAAGGACCAGTATGGCTATGGGACTGGTCTAGGTGGAGGATGATTGGAAAAGGACTGGATTCCAGCCAGGAACACTAATCAAATCCAGCTGAGGCAGAGTGAAGTGGGAACAGACACACAGCCCGCCTGGTCATAACGCACCACAGCATCTTGTCTCACCATCACCCTGCCTGGATACAGCTTGATTTCCGACTTAATCTATATCACTTACCACCAGACCTGTGTCTTTATAATTTACTCCCAAAGGCTAGGCCGTATGTGCTTTCAGGTCAGGGACTCTAACTCTTTCCTCTGGGCCCTCGTGCCTTGCAGGGAGCTGGGCACACAGTAGTACTTCAGCCAATTCATAGTCTGACTCTCGGAATAAAGGTACCGGAGCGAGCAAGTCAATCTGACTGAGCATCAGACAATCTGGGTGTTATGCACTGAATGTATCTCCTTGAACGTGTACGTTGAAACGTATACATAATCCCCAAAATGACTACATTTGAAGATGAGGCCTTTGGGAGGACAATGGGTTCAGATGAGGTCACAAGAGTAGAACCCTTGTGATCTGGTTCATGTTCTTATAAGAGACATCAGAGAGACTTCTGGCTGTGAGGACACAGTGACAGGGTGGCTGTGTTTGCAAGACAGAAAGAAAGGCCTTGACAGACAGTGAATCAGCAGGCACTTTGGCCTTGGACTTTCAGCCTCCAGAGCTGTGAGAAAAAGATGTCTGTTGCTTAAGCCACTCAATCTGTGGCTGCCTGAGCTGACTACTGTGAAGGATTTGAGACCCAGCTCTGCTACCCGGATAAGTCAGATAGCCATGTCCTCTGGGCTCATCAGAAAGTCAAGATGATGGTGATTCTCCTATGGGTTACTGTGAAGAGTCACTCAGGGCAGCCTGGGAGGGGGATGGCATGCTGAACACTGACCACGGATTGGGGAATATGCATTATTTCACCCCAGGAGACGTGGCCTATGGCCTTATGAGGCCAGGGGGCAGCTGGTCCTGCAGGAAGGAGAGGGTGTGGCCAGGCCCACCCATATCCAAAGCCAGTGCTCTTCTCCCAGCTCTGTGTAAGCCCCTGCATATGAGCAGGGGAAGGAAAGGGGCATGGATCATCCCACTACCCAGCTGGGGGCAGGCAGAGGAGATTCTTGGCCATCAAGCTGATGTCCATGTAAAGCACTATGATGCATGTACTGGGCAAGCTCAGAAAGGATAGGGAAGAGGTGAGTTCAAACCAGGCACAGCAGCGCAAGTCTTCAGGAAAAGCATGTACTGATCCTATACACCAGCCCTCCGGTGTCCTTGTGCCCCTGCCTGGCTGGTCCCCTGCTCACCTTTGCTCTTCCAATTGCGGTCGGGAGCATAACCCAGGTGTCCGGCACATTTCCTGTTGAATTCAGCAACCAGGGACCTGTAGGGGTTCCGGATCAGCAGGATGGCTGAGTCAAACATCTCAATTTCCCTCTTGCCACTCTCATGGGTCTTCACACAGATGGTGCGCCGGCTCCGCCAGTGATCTTTCTCACCCTTGAACCCTGCCCAGGAGAAAGGAAAAGGCCCCTGTGGTGGAAGGAGTCCCAGGTCCCATAGAGGGTGTCCCTACTTCCATAGGGGCAGGAGGTCTAATGCTGACCTATATAACCACCAGAGGGAAAGCCAGTATTGGGGATAAGAGGCTCAGGGATGGCTCAGAAGGGAGCCCTGACAGTATCCATGGATAAGGCACAGTAACCCCATCCCAAGGAAGGTGAAACAGGAGTACATCTTTCTATAGGAAAGATGGTACCTGCAAGAGACATCAGGACAGTCACCTCTTGTAGCAGGAGGCAGCGAGGACTTGAGCATGCCCTTTTATAGGCACTGAAGATGCGGTAGAGGCTTTTCATGGAGATAATTTCACATGAGCATTGTAAATAATCTTATGGGTTAAACAGCTGTAGGCACGCCAGATGAAGGGCTTGAGGCTCCGAGGGAGTGTGACTTGCTGAAGATCACATAGCACCATGTAATCAGTACCAGAGCTCTCTCCATTATGTCACTGTGTGTCCCTGTGTAGGCCCCAGTTTCCATCCACCTTCCCTCAGTGGGGTCAGGATTCTAACCCTCAGGCTCAATGGTTAAAGGTGGCTGGCATTTGGGTTGTAACTGAAGACTTTGGTCATAAATTAAAACTAAAATTCTGGCCATAACCCAAGTGGTTTGTAAGTCAGGCCTGTTGTAACTCCAGGATTCCCTGTAACTAGATGTCAGAGAAATCTTGAAAGATGTTTCCTAGCCATATCCTAACATGGACCATGCCATCCAGTTCTAGGGACACGCGCCATAAATGTTAACGAGCTTATCTTGGGCTCTTGGGAACAAAATGAGTTTTTCTACTTGCTTGCCAATCCTCCTTTTTCTTGAATGGCTAGTACGCATTCGTATCTTCTGTACGCAGCAAGGGCTTCTCTAATGCTTGAGAAATAAAAGTATTCTGAGTCTGGCAGTCTGGGTTTATTTCTTGAAATGCAACACAAGTTTCAAATTCATTGCTGCCCTTGTTTCATTTTGTTTTGCCACCAAAAGCCTTTTCTTTGATTGCTTTTATCAAAGAGCTGGGCAACATCATGAAAGGAAGAAGCAAACCATGGGCTCTATAAACTTGAGCTCTAGTCTTTGTCTAACCTGACTCAGGTTGCTGTTCATGCTGTCTCAGCCTACTGCCACGTCCTACTCTGCCAAGTCAGACCACATTCATCTTCCACACCAGGCTGGTATTTTTGACATTGGAGCTTCCCTGTGAGTTTTTCATTTGTGTGTATGTCTGATCACCCTGTCAGTGCTTTAGGGCCAATGGCTACACCTAACCCATCCCTCAAAGCTCAAAGATGTACTAGGTATCTCTAAAGCACCTGTGAGGCAATGGTCCCAACTCCTGGCTGGCTCTTCTGTTCTTTGGTCCACTCAGTCATATGTGGACCAAAACAGTCCCTTGCTTTAATAAGGTAAAGGCCTTTTAGGTGATCAAGGTGGCTCACAGCATCCTGGACACACAGGAACAGCCCAGAGAGGGTAGAACCACATCCTTACTTAGCAATTTCCTCTCCCAGTTGCGGGGGCTTCTAACATTCTTGAGTTCTTGGTTACATTGGCTACCATGGTTTCCCCCCAGCTAGACCAAAACTCTCATGAGCTTTGCCAGGCCCACTGCTAAACTCAGGAAGTTTCTGTTTCTTCAGGATGTTACTAATAGTATGATCTCTTGCTAGACAAAACTCTGGTTAAAGAAACTCTGACAGGATGCTCCAACACTTGACAGCAGAGTAATACATTTTGCCAAATTTAGATGCCAATTGACTTGTCTGAGGCATCCCGTTCTTTGTTTTTAAACAGCACACAGACTCAAGCCATTTAAGTTAATTTACTTGGTATAATGAGACCTCTTATTTCTACAAAGGAAAGATTAGAAATCATAACACTTAAAGATTTTTGAACCTATTTAAGTAAAACTGCACTTTGATGAGCTACCCCTTGCCTCAAAAAGAAAAAAAAAAGAAAGAAATGAGTAGATTGAGTTTTGCTCCTAATTATTGAAGGTTCTAAAAATTAAGGAAAATTCAAGAAATGTTTTTAGAGGGGGAATCCAAGCTGTTAGCCTTTCTTTGTGAATCTGGAATAAGCACTATTTTGGGAAGCCCCGTTCTTCGAAGTGCAGTTGACAGGCTGGCACATCAGTACCCCTTGGAAACTTGTAGACAAGACAAACAGAATCAGAGTAGGAGTGTAGCTCAGGAATCTGTGCTCTGGAAAGCCCACCAGGGCATCCTTAAACGCATGTAAAGCACTATGATGCTCTCAAGTGTGAGAGACACCTCAATTTCAGGAGGAGTTGGCTGACAAGCAGGCAGCCTGGCCTCTGGGAGCTGCCTCCACTCCCCTCTGCAGCCCCAACTTACCTTTGTTGTACAGAGTTCCATCGAAGTAGTAGCTCCCTGTGTAGAAGCCCGTGGCGTGCTCAATGAGGTGCCTTGCCCACGTGTTCCCGGCTCCTGGGAAGCTTGATAAAGCCACAAATACCTTGGATTTGCTGGGAAGGAACCTCCTGTCTGTACACCGTGTGTCTGAAAGTCCAGATGTCATTAGTTACCCACCTCCATGGTAACCCACACATCCACCACTGGGCTCCCTATACTGGGACAGATGAGCAAAGATTCCCACTCAATAGATGGGAACACAGAGGCCCAAAGAGGTGAAGGGATTTTTTTCCATCTGTAGCTTGGCTACACAGGTCTGTGCCTGGACAGAGAAAGCCCACGACAAGGCCTCCCACAGCCTGCGTGGGGGTGGGCATCAGGCGTACTATGGACCCTTGCCCCCATCCTGCCTCCACAGCCCCAAGTGAACCCTAGCTCAAGCACAGATAACTCCAGATTTTGCTGGAGGAAGTGGCTGGTGGTTGTGCCCAGCCACAGTGAATCAGGGCTGGACTTATTTCAGGCATGAGGTGCCACTGGCTACAGGTATTTTAGACAAGTAACAGTCTCATTCCCCTTCACCAGGGCTGCTGCAAGAAGCACATGAATAACCAGGGGGAAGTCTCCCAGCCTCCCTGAGTTGGGGTACATCAGGCTCTGGATACAGCTGGGAACATTCCCACCCACCTGCTTATCCCGCTCCTGAGGTCAGCTAGGGCAGCCCTGATGCTTACACTAAGGAGGACTTCAGGCCAGGAGCCTTCAGGCCCTAGGCCTCCCTTTGTCCTAGGCCTGGCCTCACCCTTTCCATTCTCTCTACCACCCACCGTGATGCTGGGGGTTTGACACAGATACCTTTTTGCTCTGCTATGGGGCTGCTCAGGCACACCTGGCTTCTCTAACCTCAGGATCTTTGAGACCAAAAGCTGCAGCCAGCAGTGGCTGTAGAGCTCACCTTGCACAGGAGTCTGGTAGACCTCACAGTAACCAGCTGTCCTCTGTGGCTCTGGGGTGGAGCCACACAGTGCACTGTCCACAGCATCCCGAAGGTTGAACTGGGGGGTTGAGTAGGCACAGTAGCACTCCCAGCCTCTCAGGACGGCCAAGGGGAACTCCTGGGAGGGGAGGAGAGAGAGGAAAGTAGCCAAGGTGAAGGTGAGGGCCGGCCTCTTGCAGTTTAGGCCCTGGGCTGGACAGGATGGGGCAGTGGCTACACAGGGTCAATGAGAATACCTGCATGCCAGGCCCTGGGTCCAAACCCAGGGGAGCTGGAGCTCAACAAGACATTACTTTTGCTCCTCAAGAGCTTAGTGTTGGCCAGGGACAAGTCTACAGTCACATGCAGTTGAGCCGCACTGTGGCTGAGGGGGTGAATAAAGCATATGAACCTAGGAACGGAGTATGGACCTGGGCTTTGAGATATCTAGGGCTTTACTGGGAGGGAGAAGTCTCTGGGAGGGCACCAGCCTGTGATGAACCAGGGCAGCCCAGAGCTCAATGTGTCACATCACTAATAACAGACCTCGAGCCCTGAGAGGGAACTGGAGTTCCCTCTTCAGGCTGTGGCCAGCCCACTCCATGGACAGAGACCCAGACCAACCCTGCTCCTGAAGCCTCACTGCAGAGCAAGGATGGATTCCTATGCAGTCATTTGTTCAAAGATGGAAGAAGTGGGGAAGCACATGCCCAGCTTCCACCCAAGGTGCTCAGCTTAATAGGGGCTTCCTGAAAAAGACGGTCCCCACCAGATTAAGAGAGTGGAGGTGCCTTGCTGGGGAGACCAGGCAAGCACTTGGCAGTCTCTTCAGCTGGTGCTGGGTGTTGGCTTCCTGAACATCTGAATGTGAATTCTGGCTCACTTATTGGGTAACCTTGGCCAAGGTGCTTAACCTCTCTGAATCTCACCATTGCAAACAGGTAATGAGATCCACCTTGTAGGTTATGGTAATGCCTAGATGGGATGGGTGCACACTGCCCAACACTGGGCCTAGCACATAGTAGGTGCCTCACAGAGCAATGGGCCATCCTCGGCCTCTTTGCTCTTTTGGGTACCAATTACAGCTTACTCAAAAATGTATCCACCTGCCTCTCTCTCATATTTTTATGAGCACCTACTATGTACCAGGCACAAGGTAAAGCATTTACCCCCCTTCCTGCTTCTTGAAGCCTAAGGATGCTAGGACTTCTGGAGCATACAGTTTTAGGGGCGTGCACCAGGGAGGAAGGAGGCAGTGGGTAGGGAAAGCTGCTCATTGCTAAGGGAAATGCTGCACAAACCTTTTTATTTTTTGCCCACAGCAAGTAATCTCATAAATAAATAAATAAAAGAAAATCAATAGCATTTTCTGTGGGCAGCTTGGTAAAGCTGAGGCTATCAGCACTCACAGCAGATAGCAGAGAACCAAGCGAGGGCAATGCAGAGCCTGGGGAGTCGGGGAGCATCTTGGGGCGGGTGTGCAAGGGAGGGCTGATGGGTGCTGCCCACCAAGGCAGTGTGACCCTTAGTGAAGTGAAGCCTATCCCCCATGCCTAGCAGTCCCAGGAAAGTGTCCCCCCCACCTCCCCTGTCTTTTTCAAGCTGAGCAGGCCACCGTTCTTGGGGTGAGAGCACAGGGTGAAATGATGTCCTCCAAATTCATCAGTTGAAGGCCTAACCCCAGTATCTCAGAATGTGACCTTCTTTTGAAATAATCTTAGCGTTTTCTTTGTTGTTGGGACAAAACACCCAATACCTACAACTTAGGAAGAGGAGAGGTTTGTTTTGGTTCATGGTTTCAGTCCAAGCTCTCTGGCTCCCCAGCAGAAACAGGATGTCAGAGGGCTGTGGCAGGGGGAAAGATGCTCAACCCATGGCAGCAGAAAGCAGAGAGGGAAGGGAGGAGCTTGAGACAAGCACAACCCTCCCAGGCCATGTCCCCAGTGGGCCACCATCAACCAGCCCCACCTCCTAACAGTATACTCAGCGTGGAACCCATCAATCGATAACCCACGGGCGAGTTAACACCCCATGGCCCACCTACCTTCTACACACACATGAGAGTTTGGGAGGCATTTTAGACCTAAACTGTAACAAGGGTCATTCCACAGATAATTAAGAGGAAGTCACTGGGATGGACCTACTCCACTGTGACCCTTGTTCTTGTGAAGAGGAGGTAAGGACACAGACAACCCACAGACCTAGGGACAACCACGTGAGAACATCGTGAGAAGATGACCATCTGCAGATCAAGGAGAAGTCTCAGGAGAAACCAGTCCTACAAACACCTTGATCTTGGACTTCCAGCTTCCAGAATGGTGAGAAAGCAAATGTGTACCATTTAAACCATCCAGCCCATGGTAATTTGTTACAGCAGCCTGGGACGCCTACAACAATGGCTGACTCGCTGTAGCCAAGACCCATCTCAGGACCTTTGCACATGCTCTTCCCACCTCTGCTCAGAAAGTTCTTCCTCCAGATACACTCACTCTTTTCCAAACTTTTTGCAACTAGCCCTCCCCAGCTACCTATTTCCAAGTAGTGAAACCCCTCCTCCAGCAGCACATCTTTGTTTTTTGTTTGTCTGCTGTGCTTCTACTTTCTCATAGTAACTCCACGAATGACACGCTCACGCTCAGTTGGCTTTGATGAACAGGTAGCAAGACAAGTAGCACTTCCATTATGCCAGGGGTTCCTCCATCTCTTCTTCACCCAAAGCAACCACTGTTCTGATTCTTATCATCACAGACTAGTTTATCTCTTCCAGGATGCCACATAAATAGAATCATGCAGTAGGTATTTTTACCTGGCTTCTTTCATTCAGAAAAAAATATTTGCTAAATCCATTCCTAGTGGTTTATGTACTGGTGGATCACTACCCTTCACTGGCTTGCAGTATCACACGTTTGCATGTACTGGTATGTTGGATCCTTCACTCGATGGACATCTGGGCTGTTTCCATGTTTAGCTATTGTGAAGATAGCTGCTTTAAATATTCTTATACAAGACTTTTAGTGGGTCAGGTCCTCATGGATTAAAAACACACAATTCCTTTTTCACCACTGCATTTATCACCACCCAACATACTATATATTTTACTTCTGTATCAGGTAATTGTCTGCCTCCATCTACAAGGATGTAAGTAGAGAAGGGATCTTCACAGGTTTTGTGTGCCTTGCTACAACCTCAGTACTGAAAACAGAACAGAGCCAGATGTTCAATAAATGTCTTACTGATGAATAAATGAATAGCTGAATGACTCTTTTCCAGATCCCAGTGCCCTCAAAAGCTGGACCAGCAACCTTGGGCATGATCCTTCTGCTGGTCACTGGGTCTACAGCATCACTGCACACCAGGAAGGGGAAAGGAAGGCACACAAAACCTAAGCAAGCCTTCCCCAACATGAGGGTGGAGCTCTCCTCGCCTGGGGTTCCTGCTCAGAGGCAGAACAGACCCCCAGCATGGTAAGTCTACTCGGGGCCCCTTCACTCCATCTCCCTCCCCACCACTGTTTACGCAGCAGTGCTCACAGTCTGATATCCCAGGGCCGTGGAGTGGGCTGCCCCCACCAGTGACCCAAACCTTTTTGCTTCCCTGAGTGGATTAAACTGTCAAGTTTCTGGGTGTTTGCAGAGCTACGGGAGAGCTGCAGACAGTAATGTGGTTTTATTTACAACATAACCTCTTCAGCAACATCACTGGATTCTGAAAACACAGAACAATTTTCAGCCCCTTGGGGATTTCTAGGACATGATTTCCATAAAAATTAAATATTGATGAATCTTATCTCTCTGCCAACTTCCCAGTTTCCCCCACCTCCACTCCAAGCTTCAGTGAGAGAAAAAGAAAGCGGAGAGAAAGAGGAGAAAAGGGTCAGAGAAAAGCAGGCAGAAAAAGAAAGTGAAAGCACAGACATGGGATTGCTTCCATCAAACAAGGTAGGGGCTACAAAGCGCTGAGTCAGACTAAGTCTGGGGCAAGGTGGTGGTACCTGGAGCTTCGTTCTGGGGTATCCAGGACAGGGAGTCAGGTTGGGGGAGGCATACCTGACTCTGGGGGAGCATTCAGTCTAATCCAGCTCACGTCACCCCAAAGGCAGGGCTCTGTGGGTCATGAGGTCCCACATGCAGAGGCTTATCCTATGGCCAAGGGGTCAAGGAGTAGATACTTCTTTATACATGAAGCAAGGGTCAAAGCAGACCTGTTTGCACCTCCTCTACTCCATCCCCATCCTTGAGCAATATTTTCAGGGTCTCCAGGATTGCACAGAATTAAAGAGATTGATTCAGAGATCACACAAGGAGAAAGTGAAAAAAACAAAAACAAAAACTAGAAAGCAGGTGGCCAAAGCCCAAGATCTCCAGCCTAGCAAGTGAATAGGCTCAGAAGTCAGGCTTCTGCATCCCTAGCCCAGGGCTTCACGTCTCCTCAATTCAACTCTTCAGAGGCCACCCCACCCCGTTGTTGGGTTTCTAGTGAAATCTGCAGAGCAACCTCTTGCTCCAGAGTAGTTCTTTCTCTCCAGAGGCTGACCTGGACACTCAAGGGACAAAAAAGAAAGATGTTCACAAGGCTATGGGGCTGAGGGCCAAAGGGGCAGACTTCTGCTTGCAGACCAATGTCAGGTTGAAGGAAAGCTTCCCCACTGATACTGTAACTGGCAGTGGGGGGCTGCAGGGTTCAGAGTGGCAGTGCTGAGCAGAAAAACAGCCCAAGGCCTGCCACCAGGAGCCTTCGACTCTGAACCCATTTGTGGACTCTGGAAAAGCTACTGGATATGGATTTATCATTATTAAAGGGGCATGGCTTAAGGATTAAGGGCTCTGAAGTCTACAGGTTGAGTTTAAATTTAGGTAGACTGAATTGATCTCTCCTTTCAGAAGGGGTGTTTAAGCATTAAAATACTCTCTAGGTGTCTTTCAGAGAGGAACTATTCAGCATCTTGGATGATCTGAGTCCAGGTGAGCATGGAGCCAGAGGCTTCAACCCTGTCACCCCACGTATCTTCTCTTCTCCATATAAAGGGCTAACTCACCAGTCCCCAGTTTCCGTCCACCTACTAGGGCCTGGCAGCTCTATTACACAGGCCACAGATGCTGGACTCTCTGTCCCATAAGTAGGAGAAAAGGCAAGGCATGA